ATCTAGAAATTGGAGTGGAGACCAAAAGAAGAAGAAATTAGAAAAACGGCGTCGACATGCTGATAGGGCTGAAGTAGGGGGGTCTCCAGCACCTCGAATGGACTGGGCAGTAAGTTGATGAGCTGCAGTGAAGAATCAGGACAGGGTCATGGGGGGGCAGGGAGCGGGGTGGCCCTGTGGATGCTGGCAGAAGAACGTCTTTACCTCACTTTCCCAAGTCCAGGCTGCACCCAGATGCCCATCTGCTGCTCAAAGTTTAATGAAGGAAGCATTTGCCTCCCACCCCAGCTTCCCCTTGGGCAACCTTGCTCAGTCTCCTGGCCTAGGCCAGGCCTCTCCTGTTTAGGCCTCCCCACTCTCTCCCCTTCTGCCTGCTGGGCCCAAAGGATGGGGTGGGGATGGGGGCCGGGAGCCTCTCTCTCATAGTCCATGGACACTGCAGCCACTCCCCAAACCAAACGTACTGCCACTGAGTCACACTGGACTCATAAGGATGCTATAGGACAGCATCCGAACAGGCCCTGTGAGTTTCGAACCCAGTAACTCTTTGGGGGAGGAGAAAGGCCCCATCTTTCTCCCAGGGAGCGGCTGGTGCTTTCAAACTGCTGACCTTGCAGTGAGCAGCCCACCCATAACCCACAGGCCACCAGGGCTCCAGACTGCAGCCACCGGGTTCTCTGTTCCAAAGGCATTGTCACATCAAGTCTTGCCTCTGCTAGTAGAGGCAGACTTTGTCCCCAGGAGAAGTCAGGAATCTTCAAGACGGGTCACTGAGGTATTTGTGACACAAGGCAGAAAAGTCAGAAGTCCTTTCCAAGGCCCTAAAATCGCAGCCCCCTTTCCAACAAGCTAGGCATAGGTGCCCCTGGACGAGTCTCAACTCCGCCTCTCCCTTCCTCCTCTCCGAACCATTGCTTCCTCATCGGTGGACTGAGGGCTTGACTGAAGTGACTCCTAAGGTCCTCCCAGTTCACAAACTCTGGCTCTGTACGCACTCGGTACTGCCGGGGCAAAGTTCAGAGAATAGTTTGGAATTGCTCATGGGCACAGGAGGCGTTTGAGAATGTGGTTCAACCAGTATTAAGCGTCCTTTCTGACCCTCTCACACTTCCAGAAAAAGGAAAAGAGTCCTTGGTGAACTTCCCTGGACCCATCCCTGCAGAAGTCTTTCTGAGAACGAGCAACGGCTCAGCAAGTGTATCCTCCTCGCTGCCCCCTCCACCTGTACTTTTGTAACACAATCCTTTTACAATTTCAAGTTCAAATATATGCCTGATGACAACAGCAGAAAATAAATTTTTTATACGTAAACTTTTTTTTTGACTTACCAAAAAAAAAAAAAATAC